AAAAAAACTAAAATCAATTTTTATATATATTTATTTATATAAAATTAGCTTAATAGATATATAATATATATGTTTTAATATATTTAATGCGTCCGAATCCGGATGTCCGGACCTTAAAATTTTGTTATCTGGATCCGGATCCTCTTTTCATGGATCCTAGATTTTACTATCCTTATCCGGATCCGGACTCCCCGGATATCCTAATTTTCGGAGTGATTCCGAACGGATAACGGATCGGTTCTCGGATCCTGGATAATAATTTCACCCCTACCTTGAACTAGGAGTAGCCAAATAATTAAGTTTTAGGCTAGGTTCCAAGAAAATTTCGTTTGAAGTCCATTTCACATTTTGAAACATTTTAAAACTGAATATTTTTGGAAACACGAMAAACAAACGTCACGAAAACGCGTTTTTTACATATTTTAATTCGAAAACACGGTAAAAATATTTGATTTTGTTTTGGAAACACGATGGAAAATCTATATGTTTTTATTTGAAAACATACAAAGTTAAAGTTAGAAAACATAGGTATATTTGAAATTGTTTTGTAATTTTAAAGAATATAATTATAAAGTAGTCATATTGTGAAAAGAATTGGAGTACTTACAAATTTAAACATCTTGTAACAAAAAGCAAGATTACTCCTCAAAGACCGAAATACACTTGTAGGTACTCTAATTCCTTCGAGACATGTGCATCAAGGCTTGATCACTTGAGTCCAACACTACGATGAATGCATGTTAATTATTCGTGTCCTAGACGCCCACATTTATCACACTTTGATGGAATCCACAGATTCTCCACATCAACTATGAATATTGTAGTTTAGCAAAAAACACTATGGATATTGTACATTTTTTTATCATCCAAAGCTATCTTATGAGAGAGAAAGGTAAACCTTTGATTCGAGATTGTTATTTTTGGGTCCGGTATAATCGGAGTTTGGCATAACGTTGAATATCGTGTACTATCCAAAATCTAAAACCCCTACACACAGTCGACAGGATCCGTAAGTACACATGGTTTTGGTCTCTGTTGTTTAAAAAGTCAAAATTAATTACATCGATTTGAAAATTTAGAGCATCTCCGACCATGAAGATTTTTTTA